TACTCCATCAGAATGTCATTCCTATAGTGTTAACATGGGAAACAGTCTCTGACGTGTTGCTATTACGCCATCAGAATGTCATTCCTATAGTGTTAACATAAGATCCAGTCCAGGCTGTATAAGCAACTTAATAAAATGGTCCTTTTCAGCACAGTCACTGGTAAAGTCATTATTAAAGAAAAGTAATTTTAATCACAATAGTAACTCCAGAGAGAAAACTGACTTAGTTCTACATTGTTTAATGTATAATGTTTATACACACGTCTATTTACATAATTCCCTTCACACTTTTTTCGCACAGAATGTATTTACATAAAAATTCCCCATATCATCATTATACAGTATGTAGTTTTGACATTTAATACATTATGCCTTCTGTTTAAAAGTGGTTACATAGTATGTAGGGTCCGTCCTCCAGATCAGATTTCTTTGTCTGTCTCCAGTCTTTGTCTCCAAAGGTGACAACAGCAAGCATGCGCAGTGAGAGTGAACAACGGAGGTGCGAATCTGTGGGGGTTGGGTGGGCTTGCTTTCTTAAACAAAGCTGCTTTTAAGGATTTCTGGTATGTGGCACATTCAAAATGTGCCCACCTTCCACAGAGGTCACACTGCACCTAAAGAACAGGCAAAGTAATACATCAGTCGCTTAAAACAGCAAATCTTAGAGAGGGAACACTTTAACTGAAGGACATTTTGCTATAAAAAAGTTCAAATATTTTAAAAGTATAGATATGAACTGGATGTGTGGGATGAATAGGATTCCTTACCATTTCAATCATGCTTTTTTCAGCATTACATTCCAACATGGAGCATACCACACAGTAGTCCTCTGCATTTCCTAGAACACAATGATTGAAACTGGCTCTATTAAAATGAACAAAACAATCCATATAAAGTCCATCCAATTATAGTACAAAATATTCAAGTTTTGATTTACAAAATGAGACGTGACAATACATATTGTAACAAAGAGTAGGACTATATTTTTTGATAATGTTATTGTAAAAGTCCAGCATGGTTAAATGTTATTGTATTCTCACCTTTTTTAAATCAGAGATTTCTGTGTGTGTGGAGTGCCTTGTCTAGTACATTTTGATTTATACTCCTGTTAACTTTACATTTATAATTTAGTAAATTACTAATGTCCCTAAACTTACCTCAATATTTCAGCAGTGCGCATGCAATCTCCATTCGAGCCAAGGAAATAGCACTTTCACTTGCATTCACATCTTCCACACTCCCCTTTAAAAGATACAGTTCTGCAAACTGCAAAATGTATTTTTTTAGTACAAATCAAAAATAAAAAACAGGAACAGCCCAGTATAGGTTTTCAAAAACACCTTCAAGGTTAGAACTCCACAGCTGCTCGAGTCTTGTTGGTTCTCATGTGGGAGGGTTTGCACTTGCCATGCTGCTCTGTGCTCATCACAACCTCGCAGCTTCAGGAAGTTTCTAAAAATGTTTAAAACATTTTCAGTTTTGACATTTAATACATTATGCCTTCTGTTCAAAAGTGGTTACATAGTATGTAGGGTTACCTCCAGTTTCGCAGAACTTTACGTTCATACACTGTTTCCATTCCCAAAGGATCTACAATTAAAATGCTCTTGCTGGTCATGCAGACGATCTTTAAAAAATTCAATATTCAATATTTCAATTATTTTTGGTTGTACAGATTCAAACAATTCAATTAAAAAATATTTCATATTACATAGGTTATCACACATACCACAAGCATCCAATGTGCCCCAAAGTTCACAGGGCATAGCCAAATGTCCTCTAAAGGAAATTTCATCTGTGGGATGATAACTTGAATTGCATCATGTAGTTACATGTTATGTATTATGCTACAGTTATGTAATTACCATCAACTTAAATTTGATGAAATAAAGAATTACTTAAAAACCTTTATCAGACATCCAAAACGGCCAGAAAATAGAGAGGTTGACACAGCTACACACAGCAGATGTACTGGTTTCTGTTAAAAATAAACAGCATAAGAATTATAAAAAAAATAATAGGATCCTTTTAAAAGTACATTGACTTGAATTTGAACTTACCCTTTGCGTTTCAACTAGATGGTGTAGGTATGCATCAATGACCTGTGAAGAGAAAATGTTAAACCTTTTTGCACTTCTAATTACAAGTAAGCTAATTTTAGGCTCACTTACTTCATCTGACAGCCACTCAGTCCCTTGCAGTGTGCGAAAAGAACTGTCAAACAGTTTATATGGTCCCACAACTGCTTCAACCTGACCGTAGTCCTTCGAAGCCCACAGCTTTAGAACTAAAGGAAAAGCTAGATTTACAGCGCAGGAAGTATTTTTTTTAAAAATGGGCCATTACATATAGTTAACTCAAAAGGGCCAACGGGCCTAAAGGAAACTTCAGCAGGGCCAACGGGCCAGCAGGAAATGACCTAAATGTAGAAGTAAATGTAGGAAAATTGGTAAAAACTGACCAAACTACAACTCTAAAAACTACACCTTCTTCACAGCAGTTCCTTGGATTTTCTACCAGTGCAGATACAGGCTTTATGGCTTCTGTCACTGCGTTTACATTGTTGGAGTCTTCAGCACTCTGAGTATTTTTTGTGGCAAAAACAATTACAGAAGGCCGTTTTGCTGTTGGACCGTCATCATGCTGTTCAGCATTTGCTCTCTTTAAAGTCTGCTGAGGACTT